ATGTGATGGTGATGTCATCATCTTTATCAATGGTAGAAATGTTGAGTACTGTTGTAAACATACCTGCGCTTTGAGTCCCATCTTTTGTAGTTTCTTTCCTTTTTTGAATCCTTCCATGCCTTCTTCAACCAGGAACAATGTAATACCATGTGCTGGTGATTTAGCATCTGGTTTTGTCACAGCAACCACTATTACCAGGTCAGCCATGTATCCATTTGTGATAAATACCTTGGGTAGAGAACACAGCAAATTTTATAAGATCCCTACAGTGGTGTATTATTTTTATTTGGAAGAACAACAGGATCAAGTCCAATGAACATCATCAGAGAAGATTCCCGATTGAGCAATCAGCCTAGGAATCCATAGCTTTCTGATGCAATGTGAACATACTATACCATGCACAGGTATTCAAATGTTGGTAGCCCTGATACTATAGTGTTAATTTCTGAACAACAATTTATACATGTTTTTTTATAGCAGGCCATCAAAAAAACTGGTAACCCAGTGAAGGACATCGATGAATTGTTTTTACCTCACACAATGTAGTTTGGGCTTTGTAATACAAAAACCATGAGCATTGTCAGATTTGTGGGGCTAAAAATGACTAAATGCACATGGCCAATTAAAAATTATATTGCAAATTGCAAATGCATGATCACTTAGACGTTGCATATGATTCGTAAGTGTAATTCCGTATATTACAATTTTTCTGTCAATTTGACACTCAGGTGATAAAAAGTTATCACCTGATACATTGTATCACTTATTCATAGAACTGATTGATAATCATGGCATCATGGACTGCATTATTCACTCATCTTCAGTATGTTGATGTCACTATGATGTCACTTGTATCAACCAGCTTTACAAACAAGTGATATCAGATAATAATCTCATACAGTCCAAATATATATCAGTATTTTGTGTTCACTCAAATCTTTGGGAATCCAAGCACATCAGGAGAACATTGTATAAACTCAATGAATTATTGAACTGTTGTTTTGAGAAAGAATCTCAAACTAAACCATGCTGAAAATGAGTGTGTGTGAACAAGGAAATACAATCATTCTTACACATAATAATTATTTGCTTTATTGGACTCATTCACAAGACGCTACGTCATTAGAAACATTTTGAAGCCTCCTTAAAATTCCTTGGAGAGAGTCCAGACAGTATTGTGTAGGGTGACTAACATTATGTATTGAAATGAAAGAAACAAAAGAAAGGGGGCGTGACCTTACCTTGCTCCCATTAAGAATCCAGTCAGAGCCGTCTTGCTTGGCATAGGTCCTAATACCTTGCAAGTCACTGAAAAGAAACACATAATTAGATAATTAATTCACACGTTAGTTAAGATAGAAGCCTACTCATTAATTTATTCATTTTGCAAAAAATTATACTCCTGGTCAATATAACAGTATTGACTTAAAAAAAGTTGGGGCTCACCAGCCTATTTTTTGAGAAAATGATGGTTGTATTTTAGTGGATAGTGACAATTTTTGCAGTATTATAACATTTTTACCATGGGCTTCCATGGCAGGCATATAATGCCATATTTAAATGGGAATGATGGGGCACTGTTTGTACTGGTACTGAATCATTTCAAAAATAGAGATTTTTTAAAAAAGTGTCAAAAATGCAAATTTTCATTCATAAAATAGTAAAGTTTCTCTAAATACAAACACTGTAACAAACAAAATAATGATATTTCAAGGTGGTATAGGACAATAACTCCATGAAACACATAATAAACCAATGAACATTGTCAATTTATGACCCAACTTTATTATGAGTAGTCTTAATATCATTCTGCACACTGCCCAAATATCTTGGTAATTTTACCTGTCATTTTCAATGTCAACTTTTAGTTCAAAAAAGAATCCTGTAAATAATCTGATTGTCAAAGTTAATACTGTATTTCTTCTAATAGGAGTACATCTCTAATAGAAGTACACTGGATCATTAAATATTAATTATTTTGACCAGAGATTTGACACTCCTGTCATTTACATAAACGTGAGCCACTAATAGAGCAAATATGATTATTACGATAATGCTCAAAATGGTTCTGCAGTACTACATTTGTATACTTAAAATACCAAAAATAATAATTTAATGGAAAATCGCAGTAGAATCTTCTACATAACCATTTTATTCCTAGAATAACTCTTATTGCAAAGTACTGTAAAAAAAAGCACATAAATAAATAAAAAATCACATTGGCTGTATACTAAAATATTAAGTTATTTTGACCATAAACAAACTCTGTAATTTTCTTAAATGCATTGCTTTAATTAGAATTTACTTCTATTTTCATGATTTCACAATTTTACAAATGTGAGATAAGCAGCTAGTTTGCATAAATTAACACAACAAAAGATTATTGCCTTTATTGGAATATCTGATAAATCTGTGGAAAGATATGGGAGTCACACACGAGACTGGCAGTTACAATGGGATTATTTGTTTGATTATAAATTCACTAATTTAATCAAAGAAAAAAATTTAATTATTTTTTCATGTCAAGACTCCTAAAATCAAATACATAAATCACACTAATTCAGTTTTCTTTTGAGCGAATATTTGCCAAGCAACAATGGAGAAATGCAAACAGTAGTTCATACAGCACCAACAATGTTTGTTACACTTTCAATCATTTTACCGATTTGAGCAGCGTATAAACCACAGACATGTATATTTGTAAAGTAAGAAGAATGAATTGTTGCTTTCATTGAATCCCTGCCACACCAATAGCAATTTTATATGAATCATCATCACAAAAGTAGATCAATCATCACCCTGTTACTTTATCAGAACTGTTTGCCCCTATCCAATGACAAGCTTAGTGACGTCATCAAAGTTATTGCTATTATTAGTTTCCTGGTACCATGCACTATTTTAACCATTTCAATACCAATGTCAGCTTTTGTCACCTTACAGAAAGTAAACACACAATTATTTTTTGTGTTCATTTGATTTAAACTAAAAGAGAAAGTAAAGAAAACTAAATGAAAGTGTACACACAGTGCACCATAATTATGCAAACATCTACAGAAGATGGGTTTTTCTTGAAATTCCCAGAATAGATTTTGACACGACAAAATTTTCGTTGAATATTACAGTTGTTTATATTTGAATAAGACGTCCAAAGGTACATTCTTGCACAAACAAAGTATCAAAGGCTGCAAATAATTATGCAAATTAGTTATGTGTCCTTATAATATTTTTTGGTATTTTTAAGGACAATTCTTCAGTCTAGTCTATGCAACATAATGTAAATATCAATCTTTTTTTTTTCAGCCGAAATTGAGCAACAAATCTAGATGTTGGTTCTATATATTTACTCAGCCGGCTTAGCGCCCATGCTCAACTAAAGTGCCCACCAACCACTTTTGGGACATTTTTGTTTTCAGGGTCATGCCTACCTAAGCGCTCATCCCCTCCAAATAGTTATTGCGATATCAGCAGAAAATTTGGTAATTAATTAGCAGAGCAGGCTTTTAGCCAGCCACCTGTCATTTTGACCGCTGTTTTTCATTTTGATAAAGTTTTTAGACAGGCAGTTTCTGGCTACAACCCTGATGGATGAACAGATTTCAACTCCAAACTATTAATAATTTGGTCTGCATATTGTCCCAGGGCATCTATTCTGATTGAGATATCGGTGAAACAGACATGCACACATATATACACACACTGACAGGATAATCCCAAACACTTCTATTGTATACTACACACACAAGTCAAGTTATAGTAATCAAACAACCATAAAACAATGACAGGTATTTTCCCTAATATACCTTTATCCTTATACCCTTGTCGTCAGAAATCCATATATTGAAAAGTCATCATGACAATTTCTTTACAAATTCAGGACAATGACCTCAATAAACTATTCAAGAGTATTGAGGACACATTTGAATGGACTACACAATACTACGTGCAATATATCGTTACACGGTAACAATTCAGTCACCTTCAAAAATTACAACTTTTTCACAGTCTAATTAACACATTGTAGTTTTTAATTGTTCATTTTTGCTAACCATGGAGGCATCCCCAGGCAATGTATTAATAGGGTTACAGATAAAGTAATAGATATATTTTTAAACAACTAATTAACTAATCATGAACACATTAAATAAACTGTTATTGAGGTTGACTACTCAAAAGTAAAAATTATTTCCTTTATTTTTTTATAATTGACATTTCATATACAAGGATGAAGAAAGTGAAATAAAAATATGGGGTTACAGTTGGAAATACTGAACTAAATTAAAGTAAAAAACAGAATGAAAAGAACATGTTTATTGTTTTTGTGACATTTTACTATAATTTAAATTTTATCTCAATATTTCAAAAGTTGGCTGTGAATATATGACATATGTTTATATTGTATAGCACTTAGCTTTTTATAGTGT